AGTGGACAAAACCATCACAGTCATTGTCTTCCCTGCCTTCTTTTCTTACCGTTTCCAGCACTTTATTTCTGATTTTGGAGCTTCATTCCTGACATAACTGTTTGCACTCAGACTTTATCTCAGGACTGGCTTCTCTGACAGACCACAGTAAGACATTGTGTTTTGACCATGGTAACTTTGCTTGAGGTTGAGGAGGGATCTATTTCTTCATTTGATATTAGATAGATAGATTGATGCTTACTCTTCTTACTTTTCATTTAATTAAAAGATTGTGTGTGCATGTGATACAAACCTAGGATAGCGCCTCCACTCTTGAAAAGTTCACATTTTGAGAAATTTATATCCTACAGAAACCTATCGTCACAGACATCACCGCAAAGATCTTTAAACTTCTTTATAGCCCTTCATATGTTAGGAGGAAGGGCACGAGCACCAGATAGTTTCCTGTACAGAGAGACTGTGGGTAATTTGACATTGCCTTCCCTACTTCAGGTCTAATATTGCACAGATAAAGCTTCTTTACCCTCTATTCTTGTGCTATTTTTGAATTCCAGCTCGGGTCTCTGAGGCAGTGCCCTCACAGTTACCGCACTGGCTGGAATGCATTTCTGTTTTGTTTTGTTCTGAGAAGAAGGTTTACTTCTATGAGAGCAGACCCAGAAAGTGCACAAAGCCATTATCTCATGCGTGGAGGGAAGTCTGTGCTTAAGAGTAGAGAGTTCAAATCTTGACCCTGCTGCCCTCTGGCTTTGTGATCTTGAATTGTTTGTCAGAATCTCTGGCTGTGGATTTATTTTATAAATGGGTTTTCATATCGGCTGGTGGAAGCTGTTAGGACCAGATAAGGCAATGCATACAGAGTTCTTTGCAGAGTTTCTGGGATATAAATTAAAGCTTAAGGTTATTAGTAATTATTAGTAATGAATAATAATGATGCTAAGGCATTTGGACTCTCTGTGGTCCCAGAAAACCTGGGTATTGAAGTGAATGGGGAGATAGCTAAGAACAAAATACTTAATTTTAAATTTTTATTCATTCTTTGAAAATTTTATACACATATACAATGTGTCTCCTAGTCACCCTTTTATTCTCCCCCTTCTGTCCCATCCAGGACCTTTTGTCACATCTCCTCCCCGAATTCATCACCTTCCCAACTTCATGTCCTCCTTATTAATTAATTGATTAAACCCATTGAGTCCAATTAACACTACCCATATGTTCAAAGGAATTCTTATTATGCAGATCCCTGCAACTTTGCTGGTCACTCTTTCAATGAAGACTGAGCTGGGACATTGGGAGAAACTGAGAAAAAACCCAAGGGCAGAGGACCCGTAAGTCTTTAAGGTGGTGGTTTGCCTGGGTCCATACCACCTTATTCCAGACCAGGTAGGAAATACCAAGTAATACAGATATCTATCGAGGCTAAAGAGGAGGATGCAGCATTGGTCCTGTAGGCTTTTCTGTCCCTGAGCGCAGCAGCAACAACCAGTGGACAACAGAGCTACTCAGGGCTGTGACCTGAAGTCCCGAGTTTGGAGGTCTGGACCACAGTTCTCCGGGCACAGGGCTCGGGTTTCTGCTCGCCTGTATATTCCATTCCACTCCGCCTGTCCATCGTGTGTCTATTCGTCTTAGCCTTCCAACTAAGACCTCTGTGTTTGTGCTTGTTTCTACTTCAGAAACAGCGGTGGGCAGGATTTTTCTATGACTGTCAGGTGGTAAGGAGAATTTGCTCTCAATCGCATTTGTGAATTTTCTCTTTCTCATTTCTATAATTCTAGCTTTAAAAATGTGAAGAAAGGAAGCATCGACTTGAACTCCAACTCACTAGTCTTTCTTTTGATTGGGAGCCTATCTTGAAATTACAATTTGGATGGCATTTGTTACACGACTTAAAATAATTTAGGATTATTTCAGCTGAAAATGTGAAATCAATGCCTTTCTGATGAATAGAAGCATTACATCTGAATAATAAATAAGCTGTTCTTTGTTTTCATAAATAGCTGGAGAAAAATCATAGACTGTCGTTATCTCTTGTCATTAAACTCATCCTGGAGATGTGCTGGGCCTCTTTAGAAATACTTACAAAAAATAGGTTCACAAATGCAGATTATCCAAAGAGAAAAATGAAGTATAAATATAGAGAGTATGAATAATTTATCTGTTATATAGAACAGCAATGAAACTCACGGGATGTGAAGAAGGGAACAGATCTAATTATCAGATAGAAGATACTTCAATAAAGCCCTTAACCCTTACATTTATCTCAGGATAATTTTCTAGCTATCACATGGATGGTCCATCTTCTCCTAGTGTCATGTGGGTAGTTTATATTAAGTACGAGTGACGTGTGCTTCCAGGTGGTTACCTTGGGAAGGTGAGCAAGAACACCCCAAGGAAAACTATACCTTGAGCCATTGTAAAAATACATCTAATTTAAATGTTATAGCCATCGTTTTAAGTGGGCTCATTAATAAAAGGCATATTTTACTCAAGGAGATCTCTTCTCACCAAAGCTGGGTTCTGCCTGATTTTAATTTCCCATCTTTCCTGAGAGGGGGGCACATGGATTATTTTGGGGGATTACTTCCATTTCAGCTGCTGCTTTCTGGGTCATTAATTCTAGCAGAGCCGTCTTAACTTGCCATCTTCAAGTAGAGGCCTTGTGGTGAGATATAAGGGCACAGAATTCAGAAAGACTGTTCTAGAATTAGTGTGTTCACAATGTAGGAGCTGTGAAAAGCACAAGAAAAAAACAATACTCAACTTTTGCTTCAGGTGTGGACAGGGTCACACCAATAGAGTGTTTTTCTGTTTAGCCGATTTTGGGATGTAAGTGTTCATTTTTTCTGTACTTATATTCACTATGTGGCTTATACCATGATTGTATTAATAGATACTATTTTAATTTTTTCTTTTTAAATAATTACTGATTTACCGAAGGTAAACAGAACTCTCATGCATCCTTCATTGTATTTATCCCCAAGGTAACATCTTGCATAATTGTAGTATAAAGCCAAAGTCAGAAAATTAACACCGGTACAGTGAATTTACACACAGAAGCTTAGGCAGAGATTTGTAAATCTCATGCACAACTATGCCATTGCCATAAAGACTTCATGCAAGCTAACCCTTCTCTTGCTTCCAGCCCCTTCTTCCCCTGCTGTGGAAAGCAGGGTGCTTTTACATCTTTGTTTCTTTGTTTGTTTTGTTTTGTTTGTTTTTCTGTGCCCACAGTATTGCCATTTGAGAATGCTCCATAATTGCAATCATATTGTATTTCAGGGATTGGCATTTTTGCTCCTGGGAGTCATCCAAGCTGCCACATGAATCCATAAGTCAGCCCTTTTCATGGCTGAGCAGCATTTCACTGAATGTGCAGTGTGCTGCCCGTGCCCTGGAGGACATATGAGTGAGTCTGAGTTCTTTGCTATCACACATAAAGATGCCATGGACATTATATTCAGTTTCAGAGGACTGGTCCATAATCATTGTGGTGTGGTGTATGGCGAAAGGCAGGCATGGTGCAGGAGCAATAGCTGAGACAGAGAGAGACAGAGAGGGAGCTAACTGGGATGAGGTGAGGTTTTGGAACCTCAAAGCCCTCCCCCAGTGTCATACCTCCCCCAACAATGCCACACCCCTAATCCTTCCTGAACAGTGCCACCTACTGAAGACCAACCAGTGAAGCATAGGAGCTTCTGGGGGCCATTCTCACTTAAACTATCCCACTGGCTCATATGGTGAGTAAATCATTTTTTTAACTGATAATCTGAAATGCTCAGTATTCCACCAGAACTGCCGCACTGGTTTAGTTGCTATTAGGAAGTATAAGAGCTTTACTCTGCACCAGTCTAACCATTTGTTGTTGGATCTTTTGAAAATGTAGTTTTTGGTGTGTGTGGATGTTGGGAGGGGCATGCAAGCCTGTGTGCATGCGGAGGCCAGAGAAGGAAGGCTGGTGTCCTGCTCTGTCTCATAGTACCTTATTCCCTTGAGACGTGGTCATTCAGTGAACTGGGAGTAAGACTGGTGACTAGGAATTGCCAGTGACCTGCACAATGGTGGGTTATAGGCACACTTACAACCATAACTTGATGTTTTTGAGGATTCTGGGGATTTTAACTCAGGGCTTAATACCTGCACAACAAACACTCTTACTTGCTGCATCATCTCCCAGCCCACCACTCATTTGTTCTAACTGCTCTGACAGAGATATATCAACACCTCACTGTGGTCTCATAAGTATTCCTTTAAAACAGGACTTTTATATTGGCTGTATTTCACTGGCCTTTCCTGGAGACCTACACAGATGAATTTCCTTCTGCATCACCATAAGCAATAACTAACTCAGCGAATGATCTGCCTTTAAGGATTCTATTGTCACTTATTGAGCTATTAACTGGTTGTGGAGAACAGCCTACACATAGTCTCCTTTGTTAAAGGAAATCATCTATATTTTGCTTCTACAGAAGGGGGAAGGGTGGGAAGGAGGAAGGGAGGAAGGGAGAAAGAGAGAGAAAGCAAGAGAGAGAAATTATTTTAAGCCCAGGTATTGCATCCTCATCCACGTTCTTCACTGCTGCATACAATGTATTCTTGTCATAATTCCTCAGATGTGGGTGAGGCATCATTCATCAGACTGAGGATGTGAGCGAGGCACCTGCCTTTGCCCTTCAAGATGCCACCGCATCTCATCAACTGTACCACTGTTCTCTGGGGAGGGCTTTGGAGAGGAGTGTTTGGGGATGCTGAGCCAGCTGGCTTTCTCTCGGTGATTAATGTAGCCACGTGTAAAGGGTTTCTGTATGAGAACAAAGTGCTGCTCTGCATACAGAAGACAATTGAAGAAGAACATTCTGTGTATTTATTAAGCAAGAGCAGATCGATGGATACCTTTGCAAAGCTCCCTTCCTAGGAAGAAACAAGTTGAACAAACCCAATGACGTGGCAGTCAATTTGAAAAAGGACACCAGACCTGAAGAAAATGCTATGGCCACTAAATTGCAGGGGTTGCTAAAGAAAGGCAAATAATTAGAGCATAAATCTGTCTGTGACAGCCCATGGTCCTGAGAGATGGGCTCACCGGCTCGGGGCTGAACTCAGCAACTGGGCAAACAGAAGAGGGCACCTCTCATGCTGCTACAGATCATCCTCCTGATATATGGGGGCCTGAGTGTGACCTCGCAAGGCTACTGGAGACCCGATGATGTCATCAATCCCTGGAGCCAGTCTTTCTAATTGGCTAGTTACTTAGTAAGTGCATTTATTGGAGATGAGCTGTGTTTTCAGAAGTCAATTGCTAGTTAGTGAAACAGACAAGAAAATGATTAGACAATGCTGCCCAAGTGTAGGAAAAGGTATGGAAAAATAAGTAGATGTTACTGGATAAAGAAACTAACTGAAAGGCTGGTAGGATCTGAATAAAAAGCAAGGCGGCTGTAGAAAACGTGTTTAGGTCAGAAGTAGGGGTGTGGAAGGTCATTCCATGTCAGTGGGAACTGCGAGCCAGTCTGAAAGCCTTCATCTTCTCCATGTCTGTCTCCTTCCCCTCACTTTCCTCATGCCTTCTCTCCTTCCCCTTGCTGTCTTCATGTCTAATCCCTCTTCCCTCCCCTTCTCCATGTCCATTCTCATGGAGTCCCAGACAACAGCCCCTCCGCGCGAACAGGAAAGGAGTCTAGGAGCCGGAAGCGGAGCCGGAAGCCAGAGAGGGAGAGAGAGAGAGAGAGAGAGAGAGAGAGAGAGAGAGAGAGAGAGAGGAGGACAACCGCTGCTTTTTTTTTTTTTTTTAAAGAGAGAGAGACCACGCCCCAATGGGCTGGTAACTCAGCGGCGATTGGCTGAAGGAGCTCCCACAGCATTAGCTGGAGTCATCCTTGGGGATTCCTAGGAGTTTCCCTGGTAAGGTTTCTTCCTAGCCCCATAATGGTCCTCCCTATCAAGACATCTCTTTAGTTGCTCTCCCTCTTCATCCCTCCCCCAACTCGATCATCCTGATCCTTCAGAAAGAAATCAGAGAAGCAATACCCTTTACAACAGCCACAAATAATATAAAGTATCTTGGGGTAGTTAACTCTAACCAAACACGTGAAAGACCTGTATGACAAGAACTTTAAGTCTTTGAAGAAAATTTTCTTTTGCCATATAGAAGTTTATTCTTATTCCTGTACTTGGAACAAAATTAATTCCCATAGCCTTAATAACTCCAGTTTAGCCACACAGTGAGGATGGTGGCCTGTCACAGTGGGAAGAAACCATCATGGCAACAGCATACCTCATTTATTGTACAGATAATAAAAAGGCATTTCCAGAATAGAAGTGGGGACTGAAAGTAGCTCTCTTCCAATGTTCTTGCTCTCACCGTCTTTCTAAAGACACAGGAAACACGAGCAATAAAATTGCTAAACAGCTGGTTGTAAATGATTCTAAGAGAGGATGATAGATGAGTTTGTGTTCTCCCCAAATCAGAGCTGGTCCATATGGTGTGAGCATCACATACACAGTGGTCTGAAGGAACCCTGATTCAGGTCAGAGCTGGGCCATATGGTAGGAGCAATGCATACAGTGGTCGGAAGGAAACCCTGAATAAAGTGAGAGGAACAGTTAGTGTGGGGGAGGAACAGAGAGAGGAGCAGAGGGCAGGCGGAGGGGTTTGATCCTGTTAGAGGAGGTTGCCTGCCTTTGGGGGTAAAAGAAACAAGAGTGGACAATTTGGATATTCCATACAGTCTGAGGGACCCCTAGAAATGATATCAGTTCAAGGAGAGATGCTGAATTCCTGCTGCCGCCCTCTAAGGAAAATTGTGATTTGAGGTTAACATTTGCAGATTGTCCCAGCTTGGTTCTTATTTCTCCAGTATTCCATGTTGACCTTCCAGGCTCTTCTTACGCCTTTGACATTTTATTGTGAGTGTTGTAGGGAAGTGTGTCTGCGTGTGCTGGGGTGGGCCAGTGTGGACAGCGTATGCTGGGGTGGGCCAGTGGACAGCTTGTGCTGGGGTGGGCCAGTGGACAGCGTGTGCTGGGGTGGGCCAGTGGACAGTGTGTGCTGGGGTGGGCCAGTGGACAGCGTGTGCTGGGGTGGGCCAGTGGCCTGCAGGATAGCTCTCCCAGGGGGGTATGTGTAGCTCTATGAAAACGATGGCAAGGAGCTCAAATCTTTCATTTTTGTTACATTACTTTTCTTCTCTTTTTCATTGTAGCCAACACTGGTTTTTAAATTTTTCTCTTGAAAACTTACCCTTTGGCGAAGTTTAAATTGCTCTACCAAGCCACTGTGTTTTTATAGTAAAATAATTGAGATTGAGCATTTTATAAGTAAAGACATTTATTTGCCTCCTCACCTTAAAATATTTATTTTTATTTTATGTTTATGAATATTTTTTCCTGTGTATATATCTGTGTACAACATGTGTGCAGTGCCTGTGGAGATCAGAGGAGGGCGTCAGATTCCCTGAACCTAGAGTTACAGATAGTTGTTAGCTGCCATGTAGGTGCTGGGGATAGAATCCAGTGCTCTTAACCACTGAGTCTTATATTCAGCCTTGTGTCTTGTGTTCCTTTTTCTTTCTTTTTTTTTGGGGGGGGGGAGGGAGGGGGTGGTATGAGTTGCATGCACAGACAACATAGCATTAACATTCCAGTTAAAACACCATGAATTGCATCACAGCATGTGGAGAAATAGAAAGGGAAAAGGCCCATGCATGTGGAGCGGTCTCACCCCATGCTTGCAAAGATGAACTCATGCTTTTGAGGACCAACCCATGTTGAGAGATAAGCATCCAATATAAATTTGTTCCTGGTTCTTGGTATGTGGCCCCATGCCCCTAATTACCACCTCAACACAGCTATATTATGGAGCAAACTTCTAGTATATGAACTTCTGAAGAGCCAACCACATCCAAACCATAGCAGTTGCTTCGTGTCTTTCACCCCTCTCTTGTAAGCAGGGGTGTCACCCCTGGGGAAGACAGTTGGTGTGTTTTGATGACAAATACACAGAATATGGTCCTGGATCTTTCTGCTCAGTAGCCGGATGAACACAAATATGAGGATGGACCAATGAAAAATAACCAAGAGCCAATACTTCACAATATCATCCCTATAGGTATATATGGCAATGTTAATCTTGAATGACAACTTTATGGGATTTAGAATCACCATGGATACAAACTTTTGGACATGTCTGTGAATGTCTAGCTTAGGTTAACTGAGCTGAACAGACCTGCCTATGGGTGGTAATATCCCATAGACTGGTGAGCTGGTTGGCTTTTGTTAGGTTGGCACAAACTAGCATCATCTGGGAATAGGGACCCTCAGTGGAGGAATTGCCTCCATTGGATTGGCCTGTAGGCAAGTGTGTGGGGGGGGCATTTTCTTGATTAATGATCCACGTAGGAGGTCCCAGCTCACTATGGGCAGTGCTACTCCTGGGCAGGTGGTTATGGGCTGTATAAGAAAGCAAAGTGAACAAGCTATAGAGCCATCCCATCAAGGGGTGTTCCTCCACAGTCTCTATTCAGTTCCTGTCTCCAGGTTCTTGCTTGAATTTCTGCCCTGATTTCCCTCAAGATCAACGGTGACATGCAAGTGTAAACGGAACAAGCCATTGTCTTCCCCAAGTTGCTTCTGGTCATGGCTGGTGTTTATCACAGCCACAGAAAGAGAACTAGCACATCTGGGGAGAAGGTAAGGCAAGCACTGCCACCCACCCATCTCTCTGTGCTTCCCGACTGTAGGATCCGTCACCGCAAGGTCTTGCTCTTGCTGCCATACTTCCCCATCATGATGGACTTATCCTTCAACTGTGAACCAGAACAATCCTGCGCTATTAGGTCTTCTGTTCTGGTAATGAGTAAAGTAACTAGTACACGTGTTTTTCTTACTTTCTAAGGAAATCTAGCACCTCTGAGAAACTTAATATTTCCGAATATATGGCTGTTTCCAGTGTTGTCCAGAGGGGAAGTTTATGGCTTCTCTGTTGATTGCAATTGCTTCTCTGCTGAAGCCTTTTAACTTAAACCCAATAAAATGGTATCTTTTCTTGACTTTCAACTTCATCTTATAAATACATTTATCTGCATGTTATCAGTGCTAGGTTCTCAGTCTTCAGTTAGGGAAGTGACATTAAAGATATCAGTCTCCTACAGGGGGTTAATTGAAGTATGGATTGCTGGGCACCCCTCCTTGGCAGGGGTCTTGATTTAGCAAATTAGGATGGGCATAAAGATCTATCTATCTATCTGTCTGTCTGTCTGTCTGTCTATCTATCTCTCTAGATATCTACCTACCTATCTATCTTTATCAAGTTCTCAGCATGCTTATGCTGCTAGGGTCAGAATCACTAATTTCATGAAGTTCCATCTGTGGAAGCATTCTAACACCATAAGATTATTATACTTAAGTCTCTATGTCCATATGGCACAGACACCTCATGCTGACCCACCCAAAGCATGAACAAATGTGAGATAATTCACACAAAGAATGGGAAGACAGTTTAGCTGGGAATGACACCAGGATCATACACATGGCTTAAGTTAGCCTCAGCGTAGTGATTTCAAATTATTTAATTCTTTTCAGTGAAAACTGGATAGAGCATACATAATTAGCAGAGTTTAACATTTGTATTCCTAGCAGAGGTTTCATATAAGGACATTCCCAGAACAATAAAAAAAAAATAAATCTACATTAACCCTTAGGCTTAGTTTTCTGGGCAAGAAACACCATCTCTGTGAGGGGAACAGGGCAGCCCTGATCAAGGACCCTGAGAAGAACATTCCCGTAGGTATATGTGTGGTGGCCCTGGTGAGTCTGTGTCTCCTGGACTAGGAGCAGGATCAGTGAGTGCTCAAATGCAGAAGTAGGGATGAGGGAAGAGCTAGACAGGGCGGGGAGGGGCTCCTCAGAGCAGTCTGAAGCTCTGGCCCACATGGCTTTCTGCGTTTATCAATCAACTAATTAATTGATTTTTTTTTTTTGATTTTTGAGACAGGGTACAGAATTCACATCGTGGTTTAGGCAGCGATCTTTCTGACCCAGAATCCTCAGCGCTGCCTGCAGATGTGACCCGCCATGCTCTTCCTGGCTTGCTTCTCTCCGAGAGCTTCTGCTAAGCTCCGGAGGGCCTTCCAGCTGCGTTAGCCAAGCCCACCCAAGCTGTCGGGATGATCTTCTCTAATTAAAACCAACAGAGCAAGGACTTAAGCTGAATCTGCCAAATCCGTCCACAACAACACTCAGATTAGCGTCTGATTGAAAAAACCGGGGAACTCCAGCTCTGCCAGGCTGACATAGCCAAGCCCCACCACAGGGTATGGTTCTGCAGACGGCAAGGTACAACAGTGGTTTGGAGTTTGGTCAGAATCGTGAATCTGCCCCAGTTTTACGCTTAAGTCTACTGTGTACTCAAGAATTGTCTTTTAATGGGCTTGGGAAGAAAAAGAGAGGTAGAAGTCTTTAGTGATGGTTCCCAAAAGTGAGGGAAGCTGTCCGTGAAGAGTGTTGTTTTGAGAAACCTGGGTGCTAGCTCCCCTTTGGAAAGAAGGTAGCTGCTTCTGGCAGAGTGGAATGGGAGCTCTCGGTTGGCTGATTATTTGTGCTAGTAAATGTGTCCCTGAGCCGGAAGGGGAGACACTGAAGACTAAAGCCGCCTTAGTTGGCAGGTCGAGGGCGTAGTCTTCCATGGAAACTGCCTGCCTTTGGGCAGTCTGAACGTGTCATGGGAGATGGACAGGAGGGCGGCTGTTTAGTTAGCATACCTTGAAAATGGCAGCGGGTTTGACAGAAGTTCTGTGGGTTAGTGAGGAAAGATCTGGCCTTCATATAAAATTCCAGGACCGCCAGGAATTCCATCAGGCAGCAACAGCAGTAATATGAACACCGGAGACAGCTTCCTGTCCTTTGCAGGGTCAGAAGTGGGTGTGGTCGAGTCCCCTCCCCTCCCAGCCTGCTGTGAGTGGACTGATTTACAGACAGGAGAAAACTCCGTTTATGTAATGTTCACTTTTCAGAAGGGAATTGTCTGAGAAAGGAATCTGCATGACACCCTTGGTAACCCAGCAGGGGTGGAGCAAGTGGAAGCACAAGGCTTTATCTTGTCTTTTATCTGGTTCCTTACCCTAGTGCCTCCTCAACTCACTTGGCTGTAACCGGGTTCCTGAAGGTCCTCAAGTGTTACTTCTCAAGCTTTTGGCCATTGATCATTTCCTTCCCAGGTTTCTTTCGAGGAGCCCGACGCTATGATGATTACTCTCATAGAATGCTCTCGGTTCTCAGCTTCTGAGTTCAGGTCCTCAGTAAGGGGATAAAAAGCTGAGTGTGGCCATGTGTGCAGCTCCAGTGTTGGTGGGGGCGGGGAGGAAAATGAGATGCATCCTGGCCGGCCCCTGTAGTGGAATGCATGAGTTTCCAGTTTAAGTAAGAGACCTTATTTCAAAATGTAATGGTGGAGGACAATGGGGAATGATGTCCGCCATCCACCTCTGACCTCCACTTGTACATGCGTACATACCCACACTGACACGTCCATATACCACACATATATACACATATACACACTATGTACACACACACACACACACACACACACACACACACAGAGGAGGGGGTGCAGACACATAGAACAAACTACCTAAATAAATAAATAAAAGGATATTTTTCTTCACTTCCAGAGGAAAAAAGTGTTTATGATGGCACTTCATGGCTGTTCTAGAACAGTCACTGTGTGTGTGTGTGTGTTTTCGTTCCTATTACATTTATAACTAGGAGCTAGCTTAAAGGTCTGTTTTTGACATTTGAAGAATGATGCTAATGCCCAGGCTCATGACATTTATGTGAGTTTCCCTGGACCACGCGGTCCTGAGAGACATGATCTATATTCCTTAGAAGTACGAAGGCTACGAGGAAATGAATCGCTCCTAGTCGTGGGGTGCGTGACTGCTGACTGCAGCACCTGGGGACCTTTCTGAAATACTGGGAGTCATAGAAACACACAGCACCCATCCTTCTCTCTACAGACTTGCTCTGTGGCCACCACACAAAAGGAAAATAGGGTGCAGCTGCTCTCAGTATGAGGCTCTCTTCTGCCAGTCTTCGAATTGGCCAAGTGCTGCATGCTCAGCTGAGGTCCAGGTCAGGGGAATTCTGCTCACCTGTGTCCTCTTCAGTGAGTCACTGAGTTTGTGCTGAGTCACGTGGAAAGGAGGCTAAATGAGAAATGCTTTCAACCCTGAGGGTCTATGATGTTTGTCTAGCTCCTCACGGGTCGAGGTCTAACCCCAGGGGCTGGAGAAATGGCTCAGCTGGTAAAGAGCTTGCTGCATAAGCACGGATGCCTGAGTTCTATCCCTCCAACTCACAGAGAAGCCAAGTGTGGTGTTACATGTCTTAACCCTAGGACTAGAGATGGAGACTTCTGGGGCTCACTGACCAGCTAGCCTCGCCAAATCAGTGAGCTCCAGTTTTACTGAGAGACCACATTAAAAAACAAACAAACAAACAAACAAACACAAAACCAAAAACCATGCGTGGGGCTGGAGTGATGGCTCATTGGTTAAGAGCACTTATGTTCTTTAGTAGGTGACATCTACTAAACACCAGTCAGTTCCTATCACCCGCATGGTGGCTAGCTCAAAGCTGTCTGTAACTCCAGTTTTAGGGATTCAGTACCTTGTTCTGGCTTCTTTTGGCAGCAAACTTCCGCATGGTACCCACATAAACATGCAGGCAAAAATTCAAACACATGAAATTAGAAATCAGAAAGTTGGCTGCAATGAGGAAAGCATCTGCTTCTACACATGTAAATACACATATGTGCATATATATGAATATGTACACATGCAAAATATGTAACATCTGTGGGAAATAACACTTATGTTGGATGGTTTGTCTTTTTTGGGAGCTATTGAGTCAACTATTATTCTTTGTATCCCAGAAAGATTGGTTTATGTGTAAAGAGAGGATTGTTTAGCTACTCTGGACAGTGATGATTGCTATCTTGAACTGTGTTACGATCACCCCAGACAGAACTACAGTTTTTTCTTTCTGGGATATTTGAATCATTTCAACAGAGCTTGTAATTCCATTTCAAATCATGACTAACAATAAAACAGAGTTCAGGGGATGAAGGATTATCCTAAGAGCAGAGAAAAGAATCTGTAGCAAATCCTCAAGTTAACGAGATACCCAGTGCAGGAGTGTGTATCTCAGCAGTGTGTATGAAACCCATCTCTGCGAAACGGCTCTGATCCTGCACTTGAGAGAATGATGAGAGAGAGGCCAGAGCTTTTCCAAAGCTGGGCCCACCAGCTGACTCGGCCCCAGCCCCACCCATCTCTCAGATATGTGGTCCTACTACCGGTCCAGCTATGGTTGTTTCTCTTCCCAAGCCCAGCCATCTCCCCAGGCTCTCCTAAGGCATAGATCTGCCTTGACTTGTTGCCTCCATGCTGCTGTGTTTGAGGCAAGCCTAACAACCTCCCTTTATTGCCGTTTGTCTGTCTTGCTAGACAGTGAGAAAATATGTGGATCGACAAAAGTAATAAGTCTCAGAGAAGAAGTCTCAAATTACACAAATGGTGAGCATGCTTAGCATTCTCCAAACTGTAAGCAGGCTTCTTAGCAGACTCTGTGGATAGTCCCTGCTTCTAATGTGGTGGTTTTCTTTTCCCCACTAGGGTAGTCATGTTGAGAACTGGCTGGGAGAAAAGCAATGTAGAAAAACAAAACCAAACAAACAACAAACCACCCCGATTCACATGGAGAAGAGACAATGGCAAGATCAGCTCCAACAACTTGTGAAGACCTTGTGGTCCTCAGTCAACAGATTTAGGCAAGTGGTCTTCATAGTTCCTCTCAGTGTGAAGGAGTTCCTTTCCTCTGTGGAGTCTAAAGTACTGAATGCTGTGTGTGTGTGTGTGTGTGTGTGGTGTACACTCTTATGACTAAACATAGATACTGTTTCAGATAAAGAGAGGGAAAGTAGAACTTGAAACAGAAAGTAGAACCTCTTCTTCCAATACACACACACACACACACACACACACACATACACACACACACATGTACACACATACATACACACACACACACACACACACACACACACACACACACACACTCTCCTTAGCTATAAGCCTGGCATAAACTATATCTTCATCTTGATGAAGAAGTGTCCTAGGCCCAACATTCATTCTTACAGGACCGAGCACTGAGATTGCCTTTGCTGCTATTTCTTTTTGTGATTGTTCTGTTTAGAAGCCCCTACCTGCACCCCATCATGATCCCCCTGATCCCCCCACAACAGGATCAAGGCAACCCCCACTTAGTAGGAACTGGACTTGGAATCTGAGTCTCTCACAAGGCTAGTGTTATGCTTTGGAATCCTCCCCTGATGCTGGGCAGTGCAGCTAGCTGAAGCTCTGTCAGCTTCACAATACTGGAGAGAGGCAATCAATATTCTTTGCTCCGTGTGGCTGTCCCACAGCGTGCAGTAGGCAAGGTGCTGTCCTGTCTTTTATGTGTACAGTGGAGTTAATGGGACAGGACTCCACAGAAAGTCAAGGAATGTCTGTATTTCCTCACCGTGCTTTTACTCCTCTGTCTCTACCCATGATGCTTTTGTTTCCTTCAGTGGGAAAGATTAGTGGTGGAGGATGATGGGAAATGGGAGGGAGGGTACCATCTTCTCATCTTGAACAGAGATGGCAGGTGTTTCTAGCTGCCTCTTTGTCTTGGAAGGGATATTTATGGCTCCAAATGCGTATTTGTACCTGAAGACCCTGGTTCCATTTTTCTAGCAAGGGGGTCCTCTACTAACTGGATGTTTATCCCTCTTACCTCCCCATCTATACACTAGACCCAACGCCTCATATCTGACTTCTTTACTAATTTTTGTCCTACTGAACTCTAGACAGCACTGCCAATAAAATCCTGTGTTTGGGATGCTGCCTCCCAGCAGGCTACTGTAACCAGACTGCCTCTTTTGGAAGTCCTGTGAGTGAAAAGAGCCAGGTGTTCTCTGCTTGGCTCCCTCAAAGCCATCCTCCCGTCACTGCAGGCAGAGCAGCAAAGTCCCAGAGAATAGAGAGTCTGAAGCAGTCTTTAGCATTCAGTCTCCCCAACATCCTGTGTGAATCACTTGTGGCATATAGCTCTGTAGTAGCCCCAGAGGCTCATAGGAAGTGGCATTATTTGAAAGGATGAGGACACGTAACCCCTTTGGAAGAAGTGTGCACCATGGGTGGGCTTTGAGGCTTCAGAAGCTAGGCCCAGTGGCTCACTCTTTTCCTGTATCCTGCTGATCTAGATATAGAACTCTCAGCTACCTCTCCAGCACCATGTCTGCCTGTGTGCTGCCATGATTCTCACTCCGATATTAATGGACTAAATCTTTGAACTATAAGCCAGTCCCAATGAAATACTTTCCTTTATAAGAATAGCTGTGGTCCTGGTGTCCCTTTACAGAAACAGAACACTGACTAAGATAGTCTTCCCTTTGAATTAGTAATTTTGTGACGGGGAAACCAATACTGTACAACTAGGTCCAAATAATGACAAAGCTTTATGTTCAAAAATGCTCTTCTATTTTTCTTTGAATGGCCTTTAGTGTGATGTAGAGAAAGTGACTGGCAGGGACTTAGGGACTGGCTGTAGACACATTTTGCCAAATGTGACACAGATGTCACTCAGCAATCACGAGAGTGCTTGATCCTGGATCCTACCAGTACCTCTTTATTAAGTCTGTATCCTCTGCATTCTTATTGTACTGATTCCTTTCTGTGAGAGTCTGTGTTTCCACAGTTGTCTACAGGCAGCCTTCTGCCTTCTGTGCCGTGTCTGTTAATCCTATGTTCTGAGTTCCCGGCTGAACCAAAGATGCTGCTTTCTTTCCATTTTTGCCCATATCTCAGGCTTGCCCAAGTTTTATATTTTGTTATTTTATAAGTTACTATTGATACCAAATTTATTAAAATTAGTCTTGGCATAACTGGCTATTATTACATATAGTTTATATTTTCTACAATTAATAACAAAGTTAAATGTTTTTTTGCAAACTTCCTTCCACAGCACATTTCCAAAATCTTATGAATACTAAGGATGCTATGAGTTAGATTAAACAGAAATGATTTTTGAAACTGTACTTTTGATTTTAGGAATTTATTCAGGGGTTCAGTGAGTGGCATTTTATATGATATATCAAAAATGGGTTTGTATGAAGTACTTTTCTCATATGGAATTTACGCATTGCGGAATGAGCCTTCATTTTATTCTGAGATATGTCATGTCAGAAGGAAAATTATTTCTGCTTCTTTGGAACTTGCTTTTGTTCATACATTTAAAAAGTCAGTTCCCATTAAATCAATTAAATCATAACCTTTGGAGAATTTGTCTGCCAGTTTGGAATGTCTAGAAACTTTGTGAAACAAAGTGAAAGTAGTTAAAATGTCACTTAAGGAAGACCGTTGATGAGGGGTGAGAGACCATACCATTTGCTGGTAAGCAGCAGGAAGTCAGGAGACTTCAGGCGGCATGAGCCTGACATCGGCCCTTCGGTGGGACAGATGGTGCTGATGAACTCTGGGCTGTGTAGGCTTCAGCTACTGGGAAGGAGGCGCCGAAAGCCAACAGTAAAGTGGTGTTTAAGAAATCATATCGGAACAACTGGCTTAGAAATAGATAGTTTTGAGTGATGGTTTTGCACACCAAAAATTCTGAATAAAAGAGATTAAAAGTTGTGAAATTTAAGAAGTTTTGAAGACACCAACCCAACCTCTGAGTAGAGATAGAATTACTATAGTTGGAATTTCTTTGTACATTCAGCTCCCAAATAATGACACAGAGACTTATTATTAAGTATGAGAACTTGGCCTTACCTTCAGCTTGTTTGCAACTAACTCTTAAAACTTAAATTATTCCATTTATTTTAATCTGTGTTCTGCACATGTGGCTCATTGCCTCTGCTCAGTACCGTGCATTCCAATTCCTCTGTGTTGGACTGGCAGATTTGGACTCTCTTCTTCCCAGAGTTCCTACCTCTTCCCAGAAGTTCCGCCTATCCTCTCCTGCCTAGTTATTGGCCATTCACCTCTTTATGTGTGTGCCTTTCACACAGTGTGATCGTGATCAAATATCCTGCAACAAACTACCAGGCTTCAAGAACAATGATGGGAGAGGTTTGGCCCAGTCTCAGATCTCTGCGTATGGATGGTCAGCTTCCCAGCGCCAGCTATGAAGAGGTCCTCTCCCAATGTCTATTTCTAACATTTTTGTTCTTTAGGCTGGATAAAATTTGGTTTATTTTTAGGGTCTATGTACCTTTTTTTGTGCCAATATCCTACTTTTCCTCATTAGTGTGGCTCTATAATTGTGAGGAACCTTCCACATTGTACTTTTTCCAAGGATGCTTTGACAATTCAGGCTCTTTTGTGTATTTGCATGTATTTTACGAATTTGTCTTATTTTAAGAAAGAATGACATTGGCATTTTGATGGGAATTTTCATTGAGACTTATCACTCTGGGAAGCGTAAACATGAGCAGTATCATTTTCAATCCTTACGCATGGTTATTTCCCCCTCCTTTGGACGGTTTCAGTTTCTTTCATCAGTGTTATGGGATTTTCAGTGCAGAGGTCTCTCATATCCTTGGATAAGTTTATCTTAGTTTTGTTTCATGATTTCTTGAAACTCATCAGTTGTCAGAGAAATATAGAAAGGCTTCTTAATTTTGTTGATTTCCTATTCTGAAACTTTATTGAATACATTCTTTTTCTTGTGGAACTTTGAGGTTTTTCTACATGGAAAATATATAATTTTTAAACCGAGATATTTACTTCCTCTCTTCTTATTTGTATGTCTTTTCTTTTACTTTGCCTAACTGCTCTAGCTAAACCTTCCAGTAGTATATATAATACATACATATACGCATACACATATATGTACATTTACATATATAGTAAGTGTATACATATATGTTCTCTCTATATACATATATATGCCTATGTAAGAAATAAGTAACACACACATACATTCATATATATGTGATGGGTGAAAGATATAAATGGCCTAATTCTCAAACTACCTGAAGAAAACATGTTAGGAATCTTAGAGATATTATTGCAGAAAGAATTTTCTGGTATGAGACCTTGAAAGTAAAACCCACTACTGGGATTGTACCAAAAGGCTTCTTGCAAAAGGAAGGGATCCACAGATTGAGCCGGTGGGCACACAGAATAGGAGAAAGTATTTGCCAGCTGTCCATCAAACAGGGAAGCAGTGATTTGTAGCAGAATGCATGGAACTGGGGGCCGTGGTTAGGTCAAATGATCCACACAGATAAACCAGCGTTGTGTGTTCTCTCCTGTATACAGGAGCTGAAACGGTTGACTTGAAAACAGAGGAGTGATTAGTAGATGATACTGGGAAGAGTAAGGGGAGGTGTGTGGAGAAAGGGAGGTTGGCGTTAATGAATACATGGTATAGGCTTGATTGGAAATGTCATTCTGCCCCTCATATATGTACAGTTACTATGTGTTAGTTTTAAAGTGCGATGATAAGGGCAGAGATGGATTTCAGTAATATAAGAATATATTTTGGAGGCCAGAAGAGGCATCAGATACCCTGGGGCTGTCATTACAGGTAGTTGTGAGCCGCCTGATGTGGGTGCCAAGAGCTAAACGCAGATCCTCCGGAGAGCAGCAAGTGCTCGTAGCTGGTGTGCTCCGCCCCCAACAAAGGGCTGCTCTGCTTAGAGGTATTATTTCCTGTTGTTGGTTTTCACATATCACTTAGTAAAGTCGTTTGCAAGGCAAGCTTGCCACGTAATGAG